GGATTAAGAGACTAAAGTTTAGTCTCTATGGACATTCAGATGTTAATTAACGTTCGGATGTTAATTAGAAGTATTAAACATGAGCTAGTTATAAAACTAATTGCACATATAGAGACTAATTTGCGAAACAGATCTATTAAGGGGTCGTTTGGATCCCTTCATTTTGGTGCATTTGGAATCTACTTAATGGATTAGGCTATTTGACTTCGAATTTGAGATTCCACAACTTTCCAAAGTTCACATATAAGCTTATTTCAAATTTATAGGGTGGAAGATGTAAATTGATTCTATAGATCACCATGCTATGTTTCTACTCTTTGACTTATATCACGCTCTTCAACTCAGTTTTCCTATAGTTGAAATGCAACATATAAGCATATCTCTTGCATGTCTAACAACAGTATACAAATATATTTCACATACATCTATATTAGCTTAATTAATATGTACATAAATTATAATTTATTAGCATGAATTCAACTCCAAGGATTCAAACGGGGTCTAAGCCTAATTAATCCATCATTAGCAAATGTTTATTGTAGCACTATATTGTCAAATCATGAACTAATTAGATTTAATAGATTCGTCTCACAAATTAGTCTTCGTCTATACAATTAGTTTTATAATTAATCTATATTTCATACTCCAAATTAGTGTCAATGATCCGATATGAGAGGAAGTATGTCCCTAATAACCAAACATCCCCTATAAGATGAGACCGGTGCTATATAAGCCATGGAAACTTTTTCGATGCTATAAAAGGAAGGCAATCTTATTGGTCGCTGTCACTTTATGCTATATCTTTTGGTATTTCTTTTCTGAACAAGCTTGTCTCTGATGCCTAAGCTAAGGCCCCCTTCCGAACACGAGATTTTTTTTCTTGATCTTTCGTAAGTTTCCATGAAAAATAGACGGATTTCTACGAAATTCCTATATAATCCTTGTGTTAAATTTCTACGTTCCAAAGGCCCTAAGACTACTGATTTCTATGTAATTCCTATATAATCCTTGTGAAATTTCTGTGTTACAAAGGGGCCTTAAAACTCGTTGATATTTGCAGAAAGATGCTATATCTTTCAGAATTGTTTTTCTAATCAAACTTGTCTCTGATGCTTAAGCTAAAACGAGTTATTGTTCGTAGAAAGGTGGACCATTTTATTTCCTTTTTTGACTTGTCATAAAAAAGAACTTCAATCAATGTAGAAATACAATAGTTTATTTGTTCATGTTTGATAGCCCACTTTAAGGCTTCCCTATAGCTCAACCAAGCCACAGGGTTTGTTTGGATTAACACATTTAAAAAATGGATTAAAGTGAATCCGAAGGATTGAGGGTCCATTTGGTAGGAACCAAATTCTCATAGAAACATTTTAGTTCTAGATTCTTTTAAGAGACAAAAACATTTCAGATGATAAATCAGATATCGTTTGGCTAGTAAGCTTGATTCTATTTAAAATATCATTTTATTCAAAAAATTATATAAATGATAATATTTATAAAACATTCGGAACTTTTTGTGGGTGAACAACAACTAAATACAACCCATTTTAATTCATATCACTTAAAAAAGATTAAGTGAAAATTCCGAGAATCCATGCGAAACCCACATGCCGTTTAGAATTAGCTCCTTCCCTCCACGATTCATATATGGGAGGGAATGGTTTTTACAAATAATACTTCCTCCATCCCAAATTATAAGTCATTCCAAGAATCTTGGAGAGTCAAAGTTTTTCTATATAACAAAATAATAATATTTATTATACCAAGTAAGTATCATTAGATTCTTTATTAGTTATATTTTCATATTATACCTATTTGATGTCATCAATCTTTGTGTTTCTCTCTATAATTTTAGTCAAACTTAAAAAAATTTGACTCTCCAAGATTCTTGGAATGACTTATAATTTAAGATGGAGGGAGTAACTCTCTCGAGATGGTCATGGTACAACACCCCTCTGCTTCACAATTTGTACGTTGCAGTGCTAAAGGCCATACACTCATACAGGCTCTCCACCCCTCATTTTCAAATAGGGATCCAATCATATAGCAAAATCTTCATTTTCACCACCAAATCGACAGGATTCGATGCAATCCCACAACACCCAGGCCACACATCGATATTTTTCAATCAGAAGCTGATTGCTGTTGGTTCAATTCATTTGCCTCTTATTACATTAAAAATGGAACATAGAGTGCAAGCATTTCGATTAAGAAAAACAAAAAAGAGGGGTCTATTTTTTTCATTCAAAAGCATAACAGAACTGGCTTCCCAAACAGGCGTTTCTGACACAACTCCTTCACCTGCAAGGGAATGTAAGCGTTAGTATGGGGTCCCAAATGCACAAGGGGCTATGAATGGCATGAGCAAGCGAGCAGTGGTAAACAGTGGGCACAGACAATGTGAAGTGTGGCTTTTAGCAGTGACAACTGATAAACATAGGTGATCCTCCCAGCACTACTAGAATCTGCAAGGTTACCTACAACTTCAGTTCCTAGGGAGCAAGCAAAAGACAGTGAGGAAACAGCAAGGAGAAGACAGTGGGGAAGATGTTTCCCTGCAGATTTTAATTTCCTACTAGGGAACATTTTGACAGGAAAGAGAGAACCCCACCATTTTTCAGGAAAACTGTAGGGAATGAACTTTGCCTAGGTTTCTAGTGGTAATTATGACATGGAAAGGTTTAGGGATGGAAGCAGTGATGTCACAACCAACCAGGAATTGTTTCACTAGTCAAATTCTTATCAAGCATGCCTACATAACAGAAAATGTCAAACAGCAAACACAGATAATGTTAAATATGGCTTTAGCAGTGATAAACATCAGAGATCATTAGAAAGGGAAAGACAAATCTCATTGGATATTTCAGTGATTTTCAAACAAAAAAGTTGTCACGTGTCCTAAGGACCTCAACAATCAATTAACTTCACATCTAATGCCAAAGCTCATTTACATATTGAGAGTTTAATTCTACCCATGGGCATCTCAAAATCAACAATTAATGTCCAGTTTCATTTGCAAAATATCAAGCCAGGAGCACAGATAATTTAGGTAAGGATTCAGTTGCTGAACATGGTAAAGGTTTGGTTTTGCAAGGCATCCTGTAGAGTCTTCATTATAGGTTCCACAATACAAGAAACCTTGTTAACACCTCTTTACCATAAATCATAGATTGCTTAACATGTGAGCAAAATCACAAACAACTACCAGTTGGTGCCCTTTTGGCTGTCAGCGAATCCTTCACAAGTGCACTCATGCACAGTTTAATGCAAAAATACACCCTTGCATGGTATTCTCAAGTAGTCAAGTGAGATGCTGATAATAATATAGGAACAGAAACTAAAAGAACACAATGATCTTGGTGTCAGTTGAGTAAAATGGTGATGGCCAATTGGCCATGTTCCGTTAGGAAATGTTAAGAAATCGGAAAGAGGAGAAACATTTTCTAGTTCTGTGCAACCCTGAGAGATGTGAAATTGGATGACTGAATTGCTACTAAGAGAATTTGGAGCGCATAGATGTATTTCAAGTCAGGGCCGTTCTTGTCAGAAGATTCCATTGTCCTTTTACAATGAGTTGAAAGTTCAAATCACTGGTTTCATTCGGTTTGATGGATTTGGAGCATTGCTGCTCACTGTTTTCAACAAAGCAAGATCTGTTTCCTTGTTGGTCAGCAAACAGCCCATGAATTCATATGTTCCATCTATTTGGATGGACTGGACCAGCAGGCTGGGAAATCGTCGAATATTGGCGCCTATTTCATTTCAAATTGTGCAGGGCTACAAAACTGAACCTGGCGATGGAGTTAAATACTTTTTACTCATCATTATTTCATTTTGACGAGGACAATGGAGTTGACTAGTTATGCTTGGCTTGCTGGTTTCGTGCTGGACAACTGCTTAATCCTCCAACTCAAGGATATCAACAGACAAAGTAGTTTTTTTACCAAGTGCCACTGCCAGTTGTTTGCTACTTTGCTAAAAAGTATGATTCTACTAAGGTTCACACACGTGCTAATGGCTGATACTAATAGCATGTCAGATATGGTCAGATACAGCAAATTCACCCAAAGGCTGTTTCCTGACCCGCATGTTTTTACTGGTCAAATTGTATGTTGTAAACATCAACAAAATTAGGCAGAAAAACAATACACCCAACAAAATCTGCTATAAGAGATTATTAAGGTCATTGAAGGGGTCAAGTGTTACATGGACACCGCCGCACCGGTGCCGGTGCGGGTGTCTGATCGCCAGATTTTTTTTGGGACACGCCGAGTAGCACTCGGAATCCGACACGGTTGCGACGAATCCAACCAAGGCCAGATGTATGCATCACAGAGAGGAGCGCAGATGCAGATCTACGTAGTATGTAGAGACTGGGGGCGGGCAAGAGCGGATCGGAGCCTCACCTGGTTCGTCAGTGCCTCTTGTGCTCCTGGACGAACTTGGAGTTCTTGAGGTCCTCCTCAGTGAAGTTGGCCGTCATCTTGGTGATGAGGAAGCCGGTGATGGCGAACCCCGTGAGGAAGGGCCAGTTGCGCCTCCACTCCCGGCGGAAGAAGACCGGCCACGGGTCGAACGTCTTCATCTTCTCCGGCTCCGGCTTGCTCGAGATCTCCTTCCTCCGCCTCCGGCTTCGCTCCTGGTGAGAAATGGATGGGAGACGAATGGAATCGGGATATTTAACCTTTTACCGTGGCATTCTTAGAGTTGACGATAACATTTTAGCAGAGTTTGGGATAAAATCGATATATATTTATCACTTTTGCTCTTATGATACGTTAGCACCATAGTACACCTAAGATCGAGTCAGCCATCTCAAGTAAAATGATTGTCCTGCCCCTACCTTCTTTGTTCTCCCCCTCCCCTATCCCTCCCGGCTCCACAAGTCAGATCTTTCTTCGACCTCCGGCCATCGCCACGCAGTGAGGGAGAAAAGGGGAGGAGCTTGCCATGCACAAGGCTCCGTCCATCCAGACCAATCCAATCCAGCAGACTCTCACATGGCGGTGTATAATGCGAGGGAGAAAGCCGAGAAGACGTACCGGCTCGCGGCGGCGGCAGAGGAGCTCTTCCTCGCCGGCAAAATCCACGACGCGCACAGAAAGGCTAAGAAGGCGAAGCGGTTCTGCCCGTCGCTCCCGGGCGTGGACAACGCACTCACAGTGTACGAGGTCCGCGTCCGCGTCGCTGCGCGCGGCGGCAACGGTGGCTGGCGCGCGATCCTCGGCATAGGCCCAGGAGCCGCCGTCGCCGCCGCCGCAGCCATGCATGACACCGTCTAAAAGCAATTCCGACGGTTATCGCTCCTCGTCCACCCAGACAAGACCCACTACGCCGCCACCGAGGGCGCCTTCAGGCTGCTGCAGTAGGCACACGATGAAGCCCTCTCGCCGCCGCCGCCCGGCCCTTCCTACCTCTAGTGCACTCCCCCGCCTCCGCTCCCGAAGGTGACGGTGCTGATGATGATGCAGCAGCCGGTGCAGGAGCCGCACGAGCCCATCCGCATCTACTGCCCCTCTTGCAAGAACGAGTTCCGCGGCATGGGCGGACGCCGCGAGCGGCAGAACAGCATGAGGTGTGCCCTCTGCCCTGCGTGGCTCAACACACCGTGGCAGACGAAGCCACCAACGGAAAAAGAAGCCTCCGGCCGTGTGCGGAGTGCTCGGGCAAGTGTCACGGGTGTGGAGAGCGGTACAAGTCCATGGTGTGCGTCGGCCAGTGGTGCCTCCAGTGCAAGGCGTGCTCCATGGCAGCCATGGTCGATGTGCACGGACCCGATCAAGCCACTGCCTCTATCAAAAGCCCGAGCTCATCCCCTCCCCTCACTACGTGGTGATGGCTGGAGGTTGAAGCAGATCTGACTTGTGGGGCTCGTGTGTCAGCGATGGGGGAGAGGGAGGAGAATAGAGAAGCCAGAGGCAGTGGCGGTCATTTTACCTAAGGCTGCTGACTCGATCTAAGCTGGACTACGGCGCTAACATGCCACGCGAATAAAAGTGATAAATGTGTATCGATTTTTTTGTCTGCTGTAAAATCGTATCATCGATTCGAAGAATGCTATATGCCAATGGAATCTGTCCGTCCGCGCCGGCGACGCCTCCGTGCCAGCGCGATTGCCTGGTGGCCTGGTGGGACTTGGGAGGGGGGACGGGCACGTAGCGATTGGACTGGGCCTCATCCTCATGGACTGTTGGGTCGCTGCTGGCCTGCTGCCTTTCGCTCAGCTCGTTTAGAGAGTTTTTTTTTTTTGGTGACTGCTCGTTTAGAGAGTTCCATAGCATTTGCATTAGGAAAAAAAATCTTTACTTCTGAATTATTAACAAAATTAATTACCTTTCTCACCCAAATAAAAGTGGTTTCCAAGGCTGTTTTATTATTATTTTGTTTAAAATTTGATAAACACCTGATAAGGTTTTGAAACCATGAAAAATGTCTCTAAGCTTATAAGTTATCATGATAAAAAACATAGAGATGTATTGGGACACAAGAAGCCCAAATAAATTATCTAGAGACCATGAAGTATCTCTAGAAGTTTCCAAAAATTATATTTAGCCCTAGGGAAATGGGAAAATATTATTGAAAAAATAAAGAATTCAAACGGTTATAATCCATGTCTAAATGCATTTTTAAAACTTTCCACAACAAAAATGCAAGATGCAACTAGCATGCAATGCAAACATACATCAGTGTTGAATACATCCATATTGGTTGCCTCTTATGTTTTTGTTGTCAAAGTTTAAAAGGACATTTAGACGTCAATTAGAATGCTTCGGATTTTTTTAGTTTTTTCTAGATATATCTTTCCATTTTTTCTAAAGCTAAATCCATTTTTGGAAACTTCTAGAGATATTTTCATGAGTTTAAGTAATTGATCTGAATTTCTGGTTCTCCAATATCTCCATGGTTTTTCTCCAACTTTTTAAAAGCTTAGAGATATTTTTTTCATGATTTTTAAAAACTTGTCAGGTGCTGGAATTCGTTTAGCCAAAAAAGATAAAACCACCTTGAAAACCATTTCTAACCAATGCAAAGTGTTAACTGAAATTTGAAACGGTTCTGAGAATTGAGTGAGCAAGATGTTTAGTTTTGGATTTCGAGAAGGAAATCTGAACTCTGGTGATAGTTTGAAGGAGGTAAAAGTGACCTTTTTTTTCTTCACATTAGAGAAAAAGGATTAAAAAACAGCGGTACAACACCGAATTGTAAAGCAAAAACAGAAAACAAACAGACAGGGAAAAACACAAACAAACACACCACCAACACACATAAAGAAGAAATTGCAAAACTAAACACGCGTGCTTAGATGCCTTAGAACATAGATAGACGACCTGGAGGGATTAAGGTCACAGAGAACTCCAATCTCTTTGGCTCTTTCCTCTGGCCAAGGCCAACTACCAAAACCTGCTTTCATCTTTGAAATCCGAATACACCAACCGGGTATTTGGAGAAGCACCCTCAAACACGTATTGAAATCCGAAAACACAAACCGTGTATTTGGAGAAGCACCGAATACACCAACCGGGTATTTGGAGAAGCACCCTCAAAACACGTATTGAAATCTGAATACACCAACCGGGTATTTGGAGAAGCACACTCAAACACGTAGCTATTTCAATGCTTCCACAACCACTATGCCACAAGAATTACCAATGAGTTGAAAACTTTTGTAAGTTCTCTAGGCAAAGTCGATTTTCATTTTGAACTGAATACAAGTTTTTTTCTAGAGCTAAAATTTTTCACCCTACCTCATCAGGGACAGGGATACCATTGTGTGGGCATATTAATATTCAGGCTATAAATAGACAATCTGGGCTTAAGTACAACAGAAGGACGCAGTCAAAGATTAGAATCCGCTAGTATTTAATAAGGAAAAAAAAGTATATGCCGGCTAAAGATAACTTCCTAAATAGACGATGGCAGGGAGATTTGAATTGTCAATTTTGTGGTACAGCTGAAACAAATAAATTCATCTTTTCAGAAGGATGATACGCGGATACATTCATACATGCCATCAGGAACATTCCGAAAAAGTGCACTTGACTGCCCTTATGTACGCATGTGGCACAACTTTGTTAAGATTTCTACTTCTGTTTGAAGGCACAATGAGCATAAGGGGGTGTGTTCATTGTAGGGCTGGGAAAAATATCTTCCTGTGTACAGCAATTTCACTTCCAGTTTCTCATTATCAGCATCTTCTTGTTACTCATATGGAGGAAAGAATAGACGCTACAAACTAAAACTTGTGAAACACACTATTAACCTCTAAACCACCTTAACAAAATCTCAAAATTGACGCCTCGGCTTTGATTCTGCAACCGTGACTCGGATCTGTCTACCATCCAAGTCCTGCATTACGATAAAACATTCAGATTAGCACATCCTCTATGTATAACAATGTACAAGATACATGAAAGGATCAAAATGGCATAGAACTTACGATGCCATCAAGGTTCGATATGGCATTGTTGACCTCCTCGACGGTGCCATAGGTGACGAAACCAAACCCCCTTGATCTGCCACTCTCCCTGTCGTATATGACCTTAGCATCAAGCACCTGCCCTTGCTCACTGAATAGGTTCTCAAGAGTTGAGTTGTCAACGCCCCATGCAAGGTTCCCCACGTAGACCTTGTTCCCTGAATCGACAAAGCTACCACCACCTCCACTACCACCCCTTGGCGCTCTTGGTGTGAATTCGTCTCTAGGCGGCGGCGGTCCACAGTTCACCCTCAGTGGTCTTCCTTGAAATGTCTGTTTGCAAGGCAAGGTTAATTAGTCGAGAATCTTATCTGCAATGTGACGCACTATGCACTCAATAGAAGCAATTCAGTCCCAAACAGCTAGCCGGAAACTATGAGCAATGATTAGTTATAAGGTATGATTCTGATTTCAGGTTTTTTAGTATTGCAAACTTTTACGTTCAAAAACAATGTATTGCAATTTGCAAACTTTGGTGCAAACCCTGAATCTGAAAATCCTAAGAACTGGCACAAAACACCAGCATTACAATCTAGTATAGACCACCGTCTTATCAGTGCTGCTGCATATTTTCCTTCAATTAAATAGCTGATCATCAGATTCAGAAGCATCCCAAGAGACAGTTAGCTTAAAAGAGTGGAAGTATCCTCACATAACCGTTGAATTGCTCGACAGCAGCTCCGGCTTCTTCAGCTGAAGACATTGTCACGAATCCAAATCCACGGCTCCGTCCAGTCATTCTATCATATACAACCTAAAACACAAAGAAATATTGGGGTATTCAAACACAAAAATTTAACAGATGCATGCAGCTATGTGGTTGGAATTGACAATTTGAATACCATGACAGTTCTTGCAACTATTTACTTATTTAGTATTTACTGTAGTACCGAACCAATTTAGACATTTCAGATATTTAAACTGCATGTAAATCTACCTTAATTCGAACCAGCCCAATTGTAACCATACTCATCTAGTGACCATAGCACAGTAGGCAGAAATTTGTCATTTTCAAATACGAGTACAATTTGAATTTCAAGTAAACTCAACTGACGACTAGTAATTACGAAGACGAGGACCGGAAAACTTGTATATACCTCGACCATCTCGACGGAGCCGGCCTGCTCGAAGAGCCCGGCGAGCTGCGCGCTGTCGACGCTGAACGGCAGGTTGCCGACGAACAGCTTGAGGTCTTCGGAGAACTCCTCCGCTCCCTCCTCCTCCTGCTCCGCGCCCTCGGTCTCGTACTCTGACGACACCGCGACGGCCACGGGCTCGAAGACACGCCTCCCCGGCGCTGACACAGCGCGCAGCGGCGGCCTGAAGGGGAGGAAAGCTGAGGCCGCGGGCGCAGCCGGCTCGGGGGGAGGATAGGGCGATGAAGCGGGGTGAGAGAGAGGTGGAGAAGAGCGCGGCCGCCATGACGCTCGGGATGAGATGAGGATTTGGTGATAAGGTTCCGGGGCTTGGAGAGCTGGAGGTGAATGGCGATGGCACGAGAGGACTGGGGGAGTGAGGGGCTTAAATACCTCACGCGCGGTATGGGGGAACGGCTTGCGCCTGGCTGTTGGGATATTTGTCAGAATCGAGATATTTTTGTGGTGCTGGGAAAGGGATTATGAACGTGTGGCCCACCGTCAGTGCAAGTAAGACTGGCCGACTATGTTGCTGGTCGAGCTGCTACCGCGTAGCGCAATGCTGCAATGGATGGCTCATGGGTGCCAAGTTTGCAACTTGAAATTTGTCACTAGTATTCTAGTAACCAGTAACTAGGCTAGAAATTTCATGTAGCAAATCATGTGAGATTACCATATCTGAATCGGACCTAAAACACGTGGAAATAACTCAAATAAGTGGGTAAAAATCTCAGAGCGGCAAAATGTTTTTCTCACCCGAACCAAAAATTAAGGGCAGCATCAAAAGAATCCAGGTCATTGTAGAGCAAGGAGTACTACAGTAAGCAGAAAAAGAAAGATACAGATGCTACATGAAGCCAAAGGTCAGAAGTCAGGAGTACGTTACATGGCAAATACACACTGCCCTGCAATTTCTTCCCAGCTTGACAGTTCACCCTTTTGCCATGAAGGAGACAATCATCATTAACCATGCATGCTCACTCAAACATCAGGCCTACCAGCCTCCCTTCCCTTGCCTACAGAATTTGTACAGCTAAGGATATCTGTTGTTGCAAGTGTTGTCTCTGCCACGTCATTCACTCGTCAAGGTGGCAGTATCTTTCAAGCGGTCACGCATTATGTCACCGAGCTTACTGCAAGCATCCATACAGAGCTCTACTGCCTGTTGACAAAGGTAACAAGATGTTAGTACTTGTTAGAGCCTTGATACCACCTCTTCTAACGCAGTAGTAGGACATACATTGGTTATTCTGCCATCACTCCACTCTCCGTTGAGCGTGAGTTGTGTGATCTCCTTGCGGGCTGGCATGAAAGCCACCACAAGGCTTCCATCTTGCCATGCTTCCTCATCCGAGGTTGGATCGATGATGATGTTCTTTCCAAAACAGGACTGGACAAGGAAGTAAAATCTGGTCATCCCCAAGCTTAACTAACTGATGGTTTAGGTGCGAGTATCATAGAGCAGAGACAACATGGGGCCATACCACGGATACGGATGTAACAAGGTCATACATCATGATTCCAGCATCTGCCAGTGCAAGACTTGCGCATGATATAATGATGGGAAGATCACCTGAAACGAAACAACTGCAAGTAAGGTCCAGCATTTTAACAAGGAAACTTATGCAGAAAGAATTGGTCACAGAAGAAAGGTTTCCACTGAAACAATACAAATATAGAATTGAAGATGGGTGTAAAACTGTCCTTTTCTTTAAAACAACAAGTGTACCATCATTTCTACCGACATATTAGCTATATCTGACTGACTCGAGAATTAACAACTCAAAACACGTTAACCTCATACAGTTTTGTAAAATAAGCAAATACAATGGATAACACGTTCAAACTATGTATTTGTCATTTACGGCTTAGCTCTAAATTTAACTCATTAGACCAAGGCTAAGGCTCTAGCATGTCACGAAGATAAGCAGCATTTCAATATTTTCCTACTACTTAAACATTAACAGAACTTCCACATATGTAAAAAGAAAATCTAGTATTATATTTTACACAAAAACATCAAGGCTAGAATAGTATCATACTGCCACCAGACTCAAGAACCAAGGCAAAAACATCAACAGTGGTCTTTGGAAAAGTGTGTAGCATTACTGCGCCTTCCAAAGCTTTATGAAGCATCGATGAGTACTCTTTGTTGTCTGCTCCCTGGAAATAAGATGAATGAATGCAATCAACTCCAAATACCTTCCAACAGTTAGTCCACCAAACAGAGACACGAGAGGTAAACATGGTGTACCTGTCCACGCACTGGAGTGGCAAATGTTGTATAGCTCACATTGCAATTGAGCCTACCAACATCACTGTACATCATTGCTTTCTTACTTTCCCTTGGTCCAAACCTGCAAAGTTAATCATTAAACAAAGAGGAATGATCAACCAATAAGACAGATTCAATATAAGCAAAGAATCTCACAAGTCACCAAGTTCACAGACAAGATAGACGAAATTCAAATATCGCAATGCTAAGAAATGCATACTAGAGCCCAAGTAATTTCCTCCAGTGAGCAATATTGACCTTACAACTAAACTCATAAGTGGTAAGAGCACAAGCAGCACAAAACTAAAACCATGATTGTCACATCGCCAACAAGAAATATATGAAACTGAAATAATCACACTGAATGACTGAAAGCAGGTGCTTATAAAGTTACAGGGCTGCTTTGATTGACCCTAACTTGCTCATATTTGATTGCAAAAAAGACACCAATATAAACATTTAACAGGCAAGGAGAGTGACGTGCGGAATATTTAAGTGAAACACTATCTTTTCACATTTGATATTCCAAAAACATAAAACATACTATGAAAAAGCAGGTGGTACCAAAGGATGTTGCACTTACACCGATACAATGACCTTTGTCTTCCCAAATTCCGCATAAGCAGAACCTGATGCAGCAGTAGTTGGTCCTGTCTGCATAACTGCAAGATAAATTGTAACTTACCAATTAATTCGATGATCCAGAAATGAATACTGCTAGTTTCAACTCCACAGGACAACAGGTAGTATCGTTCAAATGAAGGTTAAGATTCAAATTGTAGTAAACCACATTGGCATAAAAGCACGGGACAGATCGTTTAAAGAGGCACGGAACCCAAGCAGTAGAAGACACAATAACTAAACGGAGTTGATCCCAACGAATGCCATGTCCGCGGTAGCTCAGACACGCCCTCACCCATCACGCATAACGTCGAACACCATAAGTACGGGGCTGGTAAGAGCAGACGAAAGGCACGAAACCAAAATTCTCAAGCAAGAGCAGGTAGAGAGAGGACGTGGGGGGGGCGCGTAGTGTTACACGCTGGTCGGCAGTCGTGGAAGGAGCGGCCGTCGGCCCGGGGCCAGTCGGCGTCCTCGACGAGGTGGCGCCGCAGCTCCTCCTTCCTCTCCCGCCGTTTGTCCCCTGCGGGCGCCGCCGGGGAGTAGGTCCCTGTCCCCGCCAGAGCCGACATCGCTGGAAACCACGAGCACGTCGCCACCGGTCGCCTGGTCGAACTACAGCGGGGGAACGGAGCCTGCGCCGGACTAGCTGGAGAGTGGAGACGCGTGCTTAGTGCTTGCTTCGATAGACTTCCCCTATGGCTTTGCTAGGGTTTTTGATTCGATAAGTGGGCTGTGGCCTATGGGCTAGTCAGGTATCCCTTCCCTCGCTAGATGAAACTAGGATCAGAAGCCCAAGAGGTGGCAACCTATGGGCCAGTTGTGTTAAAGAACTCTGGGCCGAAGCGAAGCATGAAGAAAAAAAAGTCCATATTACCTCCTCAAGTTTCACGAAAGTCCGTTTTTCCTCTTTGAACTTCAAAACCAGGCAAAACACCCCCCTCAACTTTTAAAAACGTTCATCTTACCTCCTGGCCCTGTTATAAACGGTTTTGAAGACGATTTTGTCTTTTGTCTTTTTTATTTATTTCGGCTGAATCTTTGAAAAATCATAGTAAATCATAGAAAAATCATAAAATAGAAAATCTAATTTTGTTAGACTCCACATGAGTAGATCTATACAGTGAACATATAATATTGTATGCTTTAGTATAAAGTTTTTGTTGTTGCTTTAGATCTATGCTTTTATGTAATTAATTGGAATAATTCATAGCTACAGTTTCCATGGTCCAATTGTGATGAAATTTTTATGGTGGGCTAATTATTGTATGATTGAACTATAGTAAAAATTTCATACTCATTCGATCATGTATAGCTTAGTTATAGATTTATTTATATTTGGCAAGCATAAACCTAAATAAAATCTATAACTAAGTTATACATGATCCAATGAGTATGAAATTTTTACTACAGTTTAAGTATAAAATAATTAGCCCACCGTAAAAATTTCACCATAATTGGACCATAGAACTGTAGCTATGAATTATTCCATTTAATTACAGAAAAACGTAGATCTAAAGGCACAACAAAAACTTTGTACTAAAGTACATCATATTATATGTTCACTGTGTAGATCTACTCATGTGGAGTCCAACAAAATTGTATTTTCTATTTTATGATTTTTCTGTGATTTACTATGATATTTTAAAGATTCAGCTAAAATAAATAAAAAAGAAAAAGACAAAACCACCTTCAAAACTGCTTATAACAGTGCCAGGGAGGTAAGATGAGCGGTTTTAAAAGTTGAGGGAGACGTTTTGCCCGTTTTTGGAGTTTGGGGGAGAAAAACCGGACTTTTGCGAAAATTGAGAGAGGTAATGTGGACTTTTTCCGAGCGTGAATGTGTGTGATTGGCCCACGTACAAGTCCAGTGTTCATTGCAGACCCACGTACAAGTCCAGAGTTCATTGGCCCACGTACAAGTACAGAGTTTATTGCAGGCCCACGTACAAGTACAGAGTTTATTGCAGGCCCACGTACAAGTACAGAGTTTATTGCAGGCCCACGTACAAGTACAGAGTTTATTGCAGGCCCACGTACAAGTACAGAGTTTATTGCAGGCCCACGTACAAGTCCAGAACTCATTGCACAAAAAAAATTTAAGTCCAGAATTCATTGCCCCCAGTGCCGCCGCTCTCCCTCCCGACGCCGATCATGGACCAAATTTTAATTTTTTAGAGTAAAATATTGGATACTATTAGAGATGGATTTTTTTTCTTCTAATATATTTTTAGGAGTTGAAAAACATAGTGTTTTAGGAAGAAAATTTAGGAAACTCTTGAAGATGCTCTAACCAACCGAGCTAATAGCCCTTTGCAAACATATTCAAAATAAAAAGGGAAATTACTTAGACAAACGAACCGCCGCTGATCTTGAAGCCAAGGAACCCTATACCGCACGCACGGTAATACAAAATTGGTCGCTTTTTAATTTGTGCCGTGGAGAGTGAAGATCACTGCATATCTGGCGAGCCTCCCGCGATCAGATTCTTAGAAGAAAGTAAAGCGGCCAGTTCTTCGCTCCTCCTCTCTTTCTGATGGCGAGAATATATTCATGGATGCGACGGAGACCAGCGACTGGCCATCAGGGCGTCGTTTATCATGCGCCTTTCACCTCACAATTACAGGTCCACTAGTAGATTGGCGCGCGCATCCGCGCGCCTGTGTGCCTATAAATGGAGATTTTGTGTAACAATGGGCGCGTTAGAAATCTGAGTGAACTGAAGTATAAAGTTGAAAGCAGTACAATGTTCAAATGCGCAATACATGTATGAAACTGAATTGTTCCATGGATTTAGTATATTATGAATTGAAGACTTAGAAAAAAGTCATCTAGCCCTGAATCATTTATCCTTTACTCATCCTTGACACAACAAAGTAGTACAATGAAGAAAAGCTAGCTGATCTACATAGAAGAGTCTATACAATAGTAGACAATATCCTGGTCATACACAAGGCCCTCAGAATATGTTCAACCAGCTACACAAGCATATCTCGCTTACATTTATGGTTATGGAGATCATGGTGGTCTCCTCTTCAGCCTTTTTGGGATCAGTTCATGGTAATCTTCTTTAAGACTCCCTTGGATAAGTGCACAAAAGGATAGAAGAAGCTGAGGAGCCAAATTATATATAGGTAAAATTGAACGCAGATGTTGATCAATGGCTGGCCATTTGTTTGGGGGCTTCAATGTGTGCCCTCTTAATGAGCAGCCTGTGTCCTGCAACAATAAATAATGGATGACCACAATGTCCATAATCTGTGTAGTGTTGACGTTGTTTAAGATCGATATGACGAACCGGACAAATTGACATCAATCTGAAAATGAAGAGCAAGCAAATTTGAGATGTTAACGCCATTGAAGTGCACCCTTAATGTGTTAGCTGTCTATGTATATTGTATGTATACCCTACAAAAGTAAATGGAAATGGCAGTAGATACCTATGTCATGAATAGAACCTAGAATTTTATATGAAACAACACTGCTAAAAAAAACAGTTTCCGATGTGGGCAATCTGATTTGCCTTTCTATCTGCAAGGATAGCTTGGGAAAAACTTGTCTTCTTAACCGCCTTAGAGTCTTAAGCAACAGGTCAGAGTTCCTATGAATTCCATTCGAATCCAAGAGGTTTTCATTACGGAAATTCTTAGTATGTTCCTCTAATCAGTTACATCATCAGTTAACTGAGCTATATTATCTTATGATACGTGTACTGTATATAACATATCAGGCACGGATCAACTTAACTACTGGTGCATCCAGAATATGGAGAAGGAAAAATAAGGCAAAGATGAGGTCAGTAAAGTAGCAAAACAGCACTAACCAAAGCTTTTTTTTCCTGGACACTGCATTGAACCTTAGTGGAACTTACTTCGATATAGACAAGGTTCCTCCTCTGTAGCTTCATTACTAATCTTTTCTAAATGTAATTTAGAGGCAGACATGGCAGCACATTCTTTAACCAGTTGGACATTTTAAGTGAGAGTGTTCAGTGTAGTTGAATGGTGCTCATAACCAACTATATTTAAGATTAACTGGAAGCTACAGGTTGGGCCTAACTATTTTGCAGGAGTCACGTTGTTGCAATTAGACCTCTTTTTGCATAGTAGTGCTGTGAGTTCGTCGCTGTGAGTTCGTCAACACGAGTTCATAAGGAAATAAATGGGAAAATAAACTATTTATTACTTTTTCCCCAACCGTGACCAACAACAGCATCACTGAAACTATAAAGATTCTGTATTGTTTCCAACAGTCACCAACAACAGTTTTCTAGCAGCAGTTCCATCTATGACTATTATCTAAACCGAACTATAAACTGCTGAGTCCACTATCATCATCATTAGTTGAATTATAAACTAATAACTTCTATCAATATCTGTAATTACTACAGGCAAAGCTATATATGCAGGATGATCTGCTTGATTTTCTATTAGCACCAAGCCCATGATTGATGGCTGAAACTTAACAGAGTTTATCAAACTTGGTGGCCCTTTCAGTCCACTTAGCTAACTAAGGTTCCTGAGGTAGTTATCTATCTACATGCACACATATTCTATACAACATGTTGTAGGAGTGTCAAATATTCGTAAACAAACTAATCCATGAGTTCTAGGATCTATCAAAGTCAAAGGCAATGGATTCTGATGTCCCAATTATTTAATAACCAAACAACTCAACTGAAATACATGGAGTACGTAAATTTAGAGCAACAACTAATGTTGCTGATGAATCGATCATCAGCTGACTTCCCCTTATCTAGCATATTTTCTTAGAAACTATGCCCACAAAACATGTGCAGCTCGGCTGTAGTTTGCAAACATCATGTGAAGCAAAACGAAACACAGAGATAAGTTAGAAAATAAGTTCAGCTAGGGAACTCATACTCATTTATGTTGTACATCATTTTGGGATAGGGAGCAGAAATAGGAAGTTGAAATCATGACGTATGGAAGCAAACAAAAGACCTCCTATTTGGAGAACCAAAGACACATGTACTGAAGTAAATTAAAAACAATAAAGAAAATTAACCTTTAGGTAGCAGGGTAGCAGCTGACATCTGTGATCAGCTAAACAAACCTTGAGCGGTATAGAGGAGGAAGCTAGAAAATAAAATCAGGAGCTCATTAGACCTGTATTTACGAAAACTCTAAACATTTCAACTATACTACTGAATTCGAAGCATATGTGCTGTAGTAGCCGACGAATTTTTGGAAATGTTGTCGCTCACAACAGAACATTGATTCAATTATCATGTAATAAAAACGCTATGCATGGCAACTGAAAAAACAAGTAGATGTTGGTTCTGTCCTGCATGGAATGGCTAGCCTGTGTGATGTAATAAACTGGAATGATTGTAAGGTAATATAATGCATGATAAAAGAAAAAGGCCTTACAGCTGTTTGACTTTATAGGACAAATAGAACAACGATGCATAGTGGGTCCCTTAATGGCAGCATGGTTCATTCTAGATGGTCAAAATCCTATAGCTCACATTGACGCAAATTTGCAGGAAAGCAGTGAGCTATAAATAAACAATAGTGGTATTGTTGTACAACTATTTATACAGCGTATATGTTGAGATAAGTCATAAGTGGGTCGGCAGCAGCAAGGAGCATGTACTGCACGATAGTTAGATAAGCATATTTGGACCAGCTCAAACTTGATACCATCTTCAATTAGAGGAACTGGAAACTGCGAAATCCAATAAGATATCCAAAACAATTTGGAATTTGATTCTGAATATTTTCATGCCATCTGAACACATATTACACCTTATTTGAACACAGAAAACAAAGGAAAGGACATATATATGAGTACATAAGTAGGCAGCATTTCGATCTATTATTATGAAATAATCTAAACTAACATCTAAGGAAGGCAGAGGAAGAGGATAACATACCAAAACGATGAACTGAACCCTAGGTGTCCTCCCGAGGATTGAGTAGGTGTTCCCCCTGGATGATTAAGGGAGCCCAACCTACAAAATAAAGCCATATTAGAATTGGCGTCGAAAAATATGATGACGCAACAAATCTCTTTTGATTTCATTTTGTGCATTTTTTGAGGTACACGATAGAGCGAAGGACTAACTGGATAATTAGTCAATTTCGTTGCATCATCTTAGACAGCAAGCAGTTGCATAGAACTTAGAATTTACGAATGTATCAGGAAATAGGTAGAACTGATAAAGGAGATGGTGCGAAAATACCAATAATCAAGAAACATGATCAATCTTCCTCTGAAATCATCAAATTCTCCAATGAAAACCGGCATCAACAAATCTTGTCATGGAGAGACCTGCGTTGGCAGCTGCCACCTGAGAAAAGGTAACCACATATTACCTGAGAACCTGAAGACAAAAGGAAGGTGAACTAAGACCATTAGGAATTGATAAGCTAAACTTTGGGTGGCAAGCATGCAGCTTATCAAGCTCTCCAGAGTATTAGCACATATATAAAGTTAACTTCTGAGGCAAATATGTGGACTGCTATATCTGGAATGACCACAGACATGAATAGTGTAGCATGGCATATACAAAACTCAGGATGTTAGTAACAGTAACAACACGCTATTAGTATGATTCCCGTATACAAAAACCAAATTTGATAGCGCAAGATTATTGACATCTCAGTGTTATAATATGGCTGCTTCAAAAAACAAAAACACATACACTGGCACTGAGATATGCAGAAAAGAGATTGAGACTGAATTTTCTAGACTCAGTATCTGCTCCATGCACCGAAAAGAAACATTCCTTATTATAAATGAGGCATCTGGCAAGTTGCCAACCTGTGAAGCAACCGTGTTATGGTTTATCCTAACACAGTTCTGTTTTTAATCTGCACTATTTTCATCCAGCATCATAGTTTAAAGGGAGGAGGGTAAGGCACCTGCTGGCGGAGATCGATAGCATCTTTTTCACCTTGGCTGCTCCGTTTGCATCCATAGAAAAAAGAAGATGGAGTATGGATCTACAGAGAGGAGAAGATAGAGCACCATAGAAATGCCCCTGTTCTTGCCCAATCCAGAACCCTAGAAATCAAAATCCCCAAATATCAGTGCATCCCCTAACCATAACGCAAAGAGATAAGGCCATTTACTTACCTAAGACGCCGACAGACCAGTGGATCATGTGATTCCAAATATCCTGTGGGGGAACTAACGGATCCGGCCATGGAGGCACTGGATCCAGTCATGGAGGCCCCCGATGAACCCCAGCAAAGGTGGACGACAAGCACGCAGATCTCCGGTTGACCCCAGCGCCGGAGTGTGAAGGAGAAGAGGAGCAAGGGAGGGAGGCCGCCTTTACCTGGGGTCTGCTCGCGCCGGGTGGTCGCCGAGCCGCCCGCGCCGGCGGCCTCCACACCGGCGCCCTCGCCAGCCACGCCGCGCCAGGGCTGTGCTCCGCCCGCACCCCGCGACCAGCGGCGTGGCCGTAGCCGGTGCATCGCCGTGGGAGAGAAGGAGAGGAAGGGGAGGCGCGAGCGGCGGCGGCGGCATCCGTGCGAGCCACGGGAGGAGTGGGGGAGAACGGGGAAGTGATGAGGCCGACTCTTTTTTTTTCCTATAGAAGGATCTGGACCCAAAATCGGAAGCCGCAGTATATATTTGATGGATTGGCTCCAGAGCAGAAGCCGGATTACGCTGAGAGAATTACACGGGAAGCTAGTGGATGCCAATAAAGAGTGGTCGAAGCTGAGAAGCTGTTGCAGAAGCTGTTGCTTCGAGCGATCTGGGCCATCGAACGCGTGATCGGACGGCCGAGGCTATTTTGGGCGACGTGGAGGGTGGCGCAGGCGGAGGAGCTGGCCATCTTTTTGGCTTTTAAATGACACCGCATCCAGACTCCAGAGAGAGTGTGGTCGTGTACACCTCACCTGCAGCCCAGGCTAGCTTCCTGACAGCTTCCAAGCCCGTGCGGGGGGCTGCTACTGCTACTGCTAGCAACGGGTCTCCTGCCCCCGTTACATTACGTACCCCGGCTTGGACCGTTCCGGTCCGGGCACGTCGGTGTCATGCCGGCAAGTTTCCAACGCCAGCCAAGTAGCCAGCTCTGCAGCAGCAGCCCCCCCTGCGAAACTTCGTGGAAGGTCGCCGCCACAGCAGCCTCTGGATCAGCGCCAACTAATAACAGGAACACAGCGCCAACTAATAACAGGAACACATCAAAGCTGTGACCCTGATGGAACGGACCCAACCAGACTTGGCGAAATCGGTGGGGACAGACCCCCAGACAATGCTTTGAAGGTCGAAATCATTGCGCTTGAATTTTTGACCGAAATTTGCAGAAATTCCAGGCGCGCGTGGTGGACTACGAACAGTGAGTCCTGATCCAACAAGTTCTCCACCACGAGGATTGACCTTTACGCCAATGAAGCGGATTGTCTGTCTGATCAGGTGATCATGCTAGAAATTAAAAAGGATTTATATTTTGTTGTCTCGTCAGAGAAGGCATTCGAGTTAGAAAAAAAATTAAAAAGATAAAGAGAAGGCAGTAGATGATCATCAAAGTGAGATGCTTGCAACCGGCAAATTAGTTCCATCAATTGATTGTTCTTAACTTGGGAATTAGTGCGTTAATTGCTGCACAGTCCACCCCCAAAACTCATGGCAGGAGGAAAAACACACACCCGACGAACACCCCTCTCGATGGTACACTCTCTCATCTCCTGCCACGAGCAGCTGAGGCGACGAAACGAAGAAAAAGAAGTGAAAAAAAAATGAAGGAACAGTCAGCTCCTCCGGCCCTGCAGCCTCATCATCAGCACAGGCCGTTCTCGAGGAACCTGACGAACTGGAACAGGTTCATCCGCGCGTCCCGGCCGCCGCCGGCCGCGACGACCATGGCGCGGCACGCGGCGGCGTCCTGCCGGATGCCGAGCCTCGCCAGGGCGCCCTGCAGGTCCTCGGCGCCGATGAACCCGTCGCGGTCGGCGTCGAAGACCGCGAAGACGGCCCGCACCTCCGTGAAGCTGGGCTCCTCGGCGTCGAAGAGCCCGCGGACGTCGTCGAGGCCCTCGCCGCGCCCGGCCGCCGCGAGGCCGATCGTGGCCATGATCGCCTCCACCTCCGCCTTGCTCAGCGCGGCGTCCTCGTCCTCGCCGTCGCTGTCGTCCGGGCGCGGCGCGGCAGCGGCGGCGACGGCGGCAGCGGACGACGGCGCGTGCGCGGCGTGCTTGGCGTTTGGCGGGAACAGCGCCCTAGCGAGCGAGTGCAGCAGCGACGAGTGGCTGCGGGCCAGCGCCGAGGCCGCGGCGCCCAGGAAGCTGAGCAGGTACGGGATGACCAGGAGCGGCCCCGAAACGAGAGCATCCGGCGCAGGAGTGGCCGCGGCGCCGCCATCGCGTTTGTCCTCTCAGCCATCGGTCGATCGATCGAGATCGGTTACTGATTAGTCCGTGTCGTGCGAAGGAAGGCGCTAGCTTTGCTTGCTCCGACGAATTGCCGCCGCTGCGATGCGCTGGGTTGTGGTTGGAGAGATGGTGGGGTGGAAGCGAGCCTTATATATACGACCCGACGGTGAGGGCAAGGAATATTGTGCGGCGTGACAGCTTTAGGGCCGGGCGGGAGGAGGAGGAGGAAGGTCACTTGCATGGCGTGATGGCGTCGGCTCGGCTCGTCCTGTCCTGGCAGCGCGCAGGAAGGTGCCCGTCTGCTTCCGCCAGGTACTTGGCCCTGCGACTGCGAGAGGGATAGCGGACGGTACCACTTGGCCCGGAAAATCCCCGAGAAATTCTTAAAGAAAAGGCGTGGTGGATCGGAATAGGTGCGGCCTCGAGAAAACGGGTGGAAATGGGGAGACGGGGGGTGGTTGCGTTTGGGTGCGGCTTCATTTCGTCGTGTGATCCGTCGCGGTTGACACTGGACGATACACACACAGCACTGCACTACTCTCTCGGCAGACGGCAGGGGCGAAGCTTCTGCGTGGCTGGCTACCATCTCGGGTAGTGCGTGCGTTGCGTGCCCTGCCAAACTAATCGATCCGGGGGAGGGTTGACTTAGTGCGAGAGAAAAGTAACGTTCGCTGGCGGAAAAAAAAGTAACAAACCTAAATGAAGAGGGTGGTTATTTTTCCGGATCTTTGCTGTTAGGAGCCTGTCGGTGTGATTCCGAGACGCGCTTGCTTGGCATGAGGATGGGATGGGATGGTGTAGAGACATTCGGATCGGATAAGGCGTGCGTGGGACGAGCTTCTGTGTTGTGTGAAAATGCACGTAAGTTTCGTGCGTGGTCTTGGTAATTGGTGTGGAAATGAAAAACTATGTGCCGACTGGGACAAGCTTCCTGTGTTGTGTGAAAATGCACGTAAGTTTCGTGCGTGGTCTTGGTAATTGGTGTGGAAATGCGAAACTATGCGCCCTACGGACCGGACCAGACCAACCATGCAGTGTGAAAAAGGAGACACTCGTCTTTGGGTTGTGTTAGTTTTTGCGAAATGGGGTGGAAAGATTCTACAGTTGTGGTTGAAACCTTGACTTCAAACCAAAACAAGTTAATAGTAGTAGGTTACCATAATATCATATACGAGTATAACCAAGCAACTTGCTTTTTGATTTGGTGTGAGAGAAAAGTAATGTTCGTTGGTGAAAAAAAAGTATGGTTTATAAGCCAAAAAGCCTAAGCGAAGAGGGTGGTTATTTTTCCGGATGTCTTTGTTCGAGGGGCTGTCGGCGTGATTCCGAGACGTGCTTGGCATGAGGGATCGGATGGGATGGTGTGAGACGTTCGGATCGGATAAGTCGTGTGTGGACGAGCTTCCTGTGTTGTGTGAAAATGCACGTAAGTTTCGTGTGTGGTCTTGGTAATTGGTGTGGAAATGCGAAACTGTGCGCCGTACGGACCGGACCAACCAACCGTGCGATGTGTGAAAAAAGGAGACACTCGTCTTTGGGTTGTGTTAGTTTGGAAAATGGGGTGGAAAGATTCTACAGATTGACGGTGAAACCTTGACTTCAAACCAAAACAAGTTAATAGCAGTGAGGTTATCATAATATCATATACGAGTATAACCAAGCAACTTGCTTTTTGATTTGGTGTAAGAGAAAAGTAATGTTCGTTGGCTGAAAAAAGTACGGCTTATAAGCCAAACAAGCCTAAGCGAAGAGGGTGGTTATTTTTCTGGATGCTGCTGTTCCGAGGGGCCTGTCAGCGTGATTCCGAGACGTGCTTGGCACGAGGGATCGGATGGGATGGTGTGAGAGGTTCGGATCAGATAAGTCGTGCGTGGACGAGGTTCGTGTGTTGTGTGCAAATGCACGGAAGTTTCGTGCGTGGTCTTGGTAATTGGTGTGGAAATGTGAAACTGTGCGCCGTACGGACCGGACCAGCCAACCATGCAGTGTGAAAAAAAGGAGACACTTGCTGGGTTGTGTTAGTTTGAAAAATGGGGTGGAAAGATTCTACAGTTGACGGTCAAAACCTTGACTTCAAACCAAAACAAGTTAATAGCAGTAGGTTATCATAATATCATATACGAGTATAACCAAGTAACTTGCTTCAGCTTTTGCGCTATATTTAACGGCTCATACTCATATACGTCTGAGATTTATTAATTAACTTCATGTTTCTACTACCGGTATAAGAACAAAAATGTAGCAATTGTAAAGTATATGAATGTATACATACCTTTTTTATTTTAGACTAACATGATGAAGTTATTTGAGTTGTTCGCCAAAAAACAGAGATGAAGTTATTTGAGTTGGTAAGCAAGTTCCCTAGCAGTACAAACTTCGATAAATTAATAAAAGGCACGAGCAAAGAAGCCCTTTACTTTATGTTTACTATGAAGCCATCTGAGTACTTAAGCAAGTTCCTTTAAAAGTACAAACTTCAAACAAATTCAACAGAAAGTATAAGAGAGAATTTAGTTTAGGTTAACTCGGTTAGGTAATTAGTTGCTTTGATCCTTATAGTGGAGTCTGGATTGTATTTTTGGTTTAAACTATTAATATTGGTCTATATGTCGATTTGTAGCAAAGGAGCCGACCTATTCTCTCGAAGGTATTCATAGGGTGAGTATGCATGTGTATGGTATGAGTTTGTTATTGTACTTCATCCTATCGTAAATATAAGTTCCTCGACATTTGTCCTAGGCCAAACGTTTATGAATCTATAAATTTGTATACATAGATTGACATTATGAGATTCATTACAAAACAAACTAGCATAATATATAACTTTGTTCTGTCATTAAGGTGATATACATTTAAAGATAATTAGGTATTGCTAGTTAGAGTGTTATATATTAGAGATCGTCTTGCCACGTAGGCGAACTTTGATGTGACCTAAGAGCCTCTACTTTGTGCCTTTTGTGCCTATTGTGGAGGTAATGTTCCCCAATGAGATTAAGCTAGGACACTTGGTACATGCAGTAAAGGATCACAAACAAATGTTAGGAGAGACTTCATTCTTTCATTTTCCACATCTAGCTCCTTTCAAGCTTCCATGCTTGTAATTTTGTTGGTGATGGTGGATTTGTGGGGGAGAAGGGGTTTGGGACACATATGAAACATTTTAGACATCGGCATGGTCTCTACAAAAACAAATTTTAGTGGTACCTCTTGTTACAAAATTGCTATAAAAGCATAACAAAGGTATACTTTTGTAAACTACATTTTAAAACAGGTTTCCCTTTTTATATTTCACAAATCTAAACTCAAATATAAAGAATATAATACACAATTAAAAATTACAATGGTTGGCTTAAGAAAAACCCAAAACATTACTTGCTTGAACTGCACGGACATGACTTCATCTCTCCAGATCTGCCAGATTAATCTTTCAGAGATGCTCGTAGAGGTAGAATATGCGTGTGCCTATGTTTATAGAAATGATTGTACATATATATACTGTGATTTAGAAAAAAAAAAATACATCACTTCTTTCTGACCAAAAATTAAGTGATTTGAGTTGCTAAGCAAGTTCCTTAGCATCAGGAACCCACCTACTCTTTTTTTTTGCGGCTACTGAGGAGCATATACTCCTTGGTATTCTAAATCATGTCCAAAATGACTTGTCCAAAAATTAATCACTTCTTTCTGACCAAAAATTCATTTTCCTTAGTGTGTATATATATATATACTGTGATTTAGAAAAAAAATACACCACTTCTTTCGGACCAAAAATTAAGTGTAAGTGATTTGAGTTGCTAAGCAAGTTCCTTAGCATCAGCACCCACCTACTCTTTTTTTTTTTCCGGCTACTCAGGAGTACTTCTCCGTATTCTAACAAAATGACTTGATTTTTTTAGTACGGAGGAAGTAGTTATTATAGCAATATAAAATCATAAACGTCGATAGTTAAGGAATGCAAGTTCCTTAGCAGCACACACTTGCATAAATAATCCTCCTAACATAAAAGCACAAGTGTACAAATGACGACCATTAGCTTTCAGTCCAACAGGTACGGCCGGCAAAGGGAATCCCGTCGAAATTGCTCCGAGCCTCCGATCTGAAAAAAAGAAAACCCCGCGCTGGCGGCTAGCCAGACGGCCGACGACGTGCGAGCCACCCTGTCCAGCAAGCATTCGCATCGCACGCACGCACGTCGATAATAAGCAGTCGCATAAGCACACACACTTGACTGATTAATTAGTAGCCAAGACAAATTAGCCATAAACTAGTGCGGCGGATCCATCCTCCTGCCACATTTTCTTATGGCCTGCACGTACGCTGATCCGGATCTGGTGTCGGGCGGAGCCAGGGTTAGCGCTAAGCAAGATCCGGCCAGTGGCCTCGCTGGCCCGTACGTGTGTCGACTCACTGTCGCCGGGGGCCAGGGGTCAGTACAAAAGCATCCCGGCGAACTAGGAGCCTGCTGTGTGTGCACCCGGTGGGATCAGGCCAACTTGGTTAGCGTGCATGAGCGATAGCTCGTCGAGCTCGACGAGCGAGCTAGCCAGCCGGGTCCGTACGTGTGTGTCCGCGCGTACGCCGTGGACACGATCTGACGCTGCCACGTGCGTGCGTGCCTTGTTTGCTTCTTGAAAGAACGGGTTTAGCTGGCATCACGCCGGCCGCTGCGGTAACCCCAGAGCTGGTCAAGCTTATGTGCTAAGACAGCTATAAACGAGAGTAGTTTTATGTGCAGTAACAGAGAGGGGTGTCTGCGAAACCAATTTGCAACGACAGTGACAGATAATGCTGCGGATCGACAGCTAATACGTGAAAGCATGGATTGGCGGCATGTAATTTGGAAGCAACGTAGCGTTCGATTTGGCATGGCCGGCGTTGTTTGAACTGGACTACTGGTGGTTGCATTGCATTGGCATTGGGATTGCAAGACATGTCGGCAGTTGTCTGTTGCATCTTAACGGGAGGAAAATATAATGTTGGTTGCAGCGCAGGACGGCAGGAAATGGGCCTGAAAGTTTGCTTTTGAACGAGTATGGACGATGCTGCTTGCTCGACCCCGTCGCCGGCCAGACAGACGCGAGAAGGGGGCCGGGCTCGTTCTCGTTCGTTCGTGCGTGCTCGTATCCTGATGAGTTATGACCTGATCAATCAGTACTACCGGTACGGTTGAGCAAATCTTCAGCGGCCGGCTACGAAAATACTTTGAAATAACAAGATTATAGAAACACGTGCTTTGGCATCACTGATGGCATCTCGCCATGATGTGACGTTGGACGTGTATGACTCCTAACTTCTTAATGAAACATGTGCTATGCACGTTCTCGAAAAAAAACAAGATGAGTAGATTCAAGATCAAACAGGGTAGATGAAAAATGGGTGCCCGACAAGGATGAGTGGTTCTTAGTGTTTTAATTATGCATGCCAAGTCTCACAGCAACCATTTTATTTGATTGTGTTCTGAATCAAGATTATATCATGATTCTTATGATACGCACTTTGGCACTTGGTAACAACAGAAAGTTAAGCTTATAGAGTTGGAACAGTGCAAAACTACTTATCTGGTAGTGTATGATGTTGCAGCACTGAAAGGTCAGTTAATAAACTTTTGTTCTCTAGTGTGATCCACTATTTTGCGCAGCTTCATCCGTCAGTGATATTCTACTTGCCAGTATCTTATGACGTACCTCTGGAAGGTTTGGCCCAGAATATCCCTGCATTTGACCTGCCAAAGGATTTTCATCTTGTTTACAGGGTTGCCCTTTTGTTTTAGCCCGTGAAGCGATCGATTTATCTGCAGTACACCATGCATAGCTATGAATAATAAAGGCATGAACAGAATAAATAAATAAAAATAAACCGTCAAACACAAGAGTGTGCATAGAAACTTAATATGCTTCTCCAATCAAACTTGTGCAAAGGATTGTCCATGGACATTGAAAGAAACACTAACATGTTTCAATTTAATTGAAAAGAAAGAGGTTTTGACTGGCCCCTGATATTGTGGTAAAATATTGAAACCTCCTCAAGTCTTGTCAACTTTATTCCAACCTATGCAAGACAGTAGATCCCCCATCTGAATAACCCTTGCCCCATCCACCCAAGGTTTAGGCATTGGCCCACCTCTTACCGCTTCCTTTTGTGAAAAAATCGCATTTGGTGGGAAAAGAGCTGGGCTGGAGACATCGACAAGCCAATCAGAAAACAGAACAACCTTGCTAACCAAAAGTCCCTTATATATGGCCAGATGAACAATGGCAGCCTGATCAAATCAATATTAATGAGTATGTTTGCCCCCTACGCCCTCAGATTGTACACAAAGAAAGAAAATACAGAGTATAATTGACAGTCTGAATCAAGACAAATGAAATTACGTTTGCCAACCAAGGCATCACTGTCCAACCACCTTCGGACGCCACTCCTTTCTTCTTGGCTGCACCACTGTCCGTCATCCGCAACCAGCGGCTGACAGCGTCCCCTACCGTCACGCTGACGTGCCGAATTGGGCATCCGTACAGCACAAGCCCTAAAACCCCTTACCCGAACCCTCAAAACGGCGGCGGACCTCACCCTCCGGCGGCGGCGAGCCGGGAACTAATAAGTCGTGGTGTTTTTCATGCTATTGAAGAGTACGAAAGGTGAGATGCTTAAAGGCGACTTATTGCGGGCTTTGATTTGGCGACGACACCGAAGCCGACGCCGATGCCGCTGCATGTATTGATTCAACTTCAACAGCCCCATGATACGGAGATACCTCGGATCAACTCCGGAATTCGATGGCAGTTCTCCACCCTGAGGTGGCGTTTGGATATAGAGGGTGGGATAGGGAAATGAGATCGGGTGGAAATTATATCCACTCCCACAATTTTTTATCTTTTTACCAAAAAAACAACCAGCGTCAACAAAATGGAAACTAGAATCAACAACCACCAGCGTCAACAAAATGGAAACTAGAATCAATGGGCCCTCATCAATCAATGGGTGATTTCCTTTACTCGCCCACCTGCTTCATCTGGCATCCCGTGGATCACGGCGACACGATCGTCTCCTTCCTTTCCTTCCCGTTGAGAACTCGCACTCGCACCACATCCGCGCGCAAGTAAGCGGGCGACTCCAGGGCCCGGAATCGTGGGACTTGAGTACGGGCCAAGGACACCGATCAGATAGTGACGGCGTACGGGAGGCTGAAGTGGTGGAAGGGGGGAAGACGATGACGATTGACGACGAGGGAGCCGCACGAGGTCTCTCGGCGTGACGGACGATCGGGCATGACTTAAGGGCCGTTAGATCGAGGCCCACCGGAAAGCATGTTACATTTGGGTCCATTCGGTGTAGCCGGCCTGTGTGGCAGTGTGGGGCAGCGGCAGTAAACATGGGCTTCTAGTGGCGGAACGTTTCGGCTCATGGGCTGCAGTGGGACCCCCCGCCGTAACGTCACGTCTAGTGATTTAACGGCCGCACGGAGGCTTATGCTGGGCTTGCTCAGAGTCATGTGTTATACGCCCGGCCCAGCATTCTCTTTTAAATTTTCTTTCAGGTTGATTCCGAGTTGCTAGGTATACTCAGGTTCTTTGATATAGTTGTACGAATGGCAAGATAAAAAAAAAATGTAGGAATGGCAGCCGATGAGAGGAAGAGGATATGCATGCATATCCATGTCCTCATCGGCGGTTGGGGGACGCTATCCTCTTTTTCGTAGGACGTCAATCCACTTCGAAAATCTCAATGGCATTGACGCACCTATGAGTTTCGGGGACAAGCAAATCTAAAGGTCTAGCGATATGTAATAACAACTAGTATTTCCCAACTCCAGGCTGCCTCTCCAACGCTATGCAGGTTAGCACCAGCGATAATGCATTAATGCATGGAACCATCGTCTCTGCATCTCCGTTATGCTGCCTAATTACACACCCGGGCATTGCTAGCATATACTCCATCAGAAACACATCTGTACAAACACTCACTGATCCTGAATCTGAAAGTTCACGATTTTCTCTCTCCTCCAGAAAACTGCATACTCCACAAAAACAAAAAGGGCAGTAATTGATTTTTTTTTTCGCGAAGACGCAGACTTGTGCGTTTTTGGGGGGAGGGGCAGTAATTGATTATGTGCAGAATCCACACATGCATGATTCAGCACTTAATTAGCATAGTGCTTGTTTAATTTTGAACCACTCATTCAGGTACCCAAGGGTCAGAATGAAGCAACGACTGTAGCTTACGGCCTTGATTAGTTTCTCCTCAATGTTTAGACACATGCGCGCATGTAGTATTAAATATAGACTAAAAATAGCTAATTGCACAGATTACGACTACTTTACGAGACGAATCTTTTAAGCCTAATTAGCCCATGACTCATCGAATGTTTAGACACATGTGCTAATGATGGATTAATTAGGCTTAATAAATTCGTCTCGCTGTTTATTGACGGATTCTGTAATTTATTTTTTTATTAGTATCCGAACACCACATACGACACCTCCATTTAACACCCGATGTGACACCCCAAAACTTTACACCCTGGAACTAAACAAGGCCTACATCAACTTAGACTCTTTTTAAAAAAAAATCCAAACCGCATGATGAACACGGTTGACCTTATGGGCACATCTGCCTTCATCGTAGTGGCCACCAGCCGTTTTCAGCTCTCTCATTCATCTCCATGCAGTCGTACGTGTCACGCATAAGAAGAAGATCGACAATGGCGAGAGCTGAAAAGGAAAGACAGCATCTGCTAATACCAGCAATCAGCATGACGCTTCTGACCACATATTCCTCTCTCGTCTGTTTCATTCGTCCACAGACTGAAAGCCTGACACCTTTGACTGACCAGAGACGGTAGTCGTAGTGGTAGAAAGCAAATCGTGCCAGTCACTCCAAAGAGGACATCACTTAGGAGTTTAGAAAGCCGTAACAAAAACACCAGAACGCAGGGTGCCCATCATCAGCACGTCAGCAGATGGAGAGATCTTGGGACGCTGCCCTTGCTTGGAGCCGTGCCCCGTGCGGCAAGGCCATGGCCATCTACTACTGCTAGCAGCTAGTGCTGGGGCTCTCTTATCTTCCGCAGCACCAGCAGTGCAGCGATCACTGGTCAGTGGACAAAGCCGTGTTAGGTAGGCGGCCAATTGAGTTGGTGGTGGGCGTCAGAAAAAAAGACTTCTTTTTCTCTCCGCGTGTTTTTTTCCAGGCCTCCATGATTAGCTGTGGACTCTACGAAGACGCAAGAGGGCGGGGCGGACAGCCGGACACGCACGCCATGGCCTCGCCGGTCGTCGCAGCTATCTAACTTCGCCGCCTCGTCCAGCCAAGGGTCAGATACGCCCGGTCCTGCGGTGTCGACGTGGAAGAAGAAGGCAAAGGCATGGCGAGGCTGCAGGCGGCTGGCCGGCTGCTGGTGATCCTGCTCGCCCTCTTTCTCCTCGTCGTCGCGCCCGCTCAAGCCGCTCGTTTCACAAGTAACTCCTCCTTTCATAGTTTCATGTGTGTTAATCTCGCTACGTACTAGATGTTCTGGAGATCTGAACTGCAGCTGTGGTGATTTTGATGTGGACGCATGCAGGGGGCTTCAGGGCGAGGATCGGTGAGGCTCCGGCGTTAGATGGTGCTCAAGTTTCAGCAGAGGTACTTGACTAGCTAGATGCCGTAGTACGTAGTACAAATAAACAGCCTTGAGAGTTAGCTTCATAATTTTGTTGTTCAAAGTCAGATTTTTCCTCTTCTTTATTTGTGCCTTTGTATAGTGTGGCTAAGAGCACAAGTTAACGATAAATGGTTCAGGGATAGATGTCTGAAGCTGTTACACTTACATGCGAGTGTATAGTTGAGCTATCTGAAAGTGCGTGATTTCATTCGAGGTGATCATTTGTGCATTGATTTTTTTCAGTCAAAACTACAGATTACTAAAAACAGTTAGGGCAAACAGTGATGTCATGGTACAAAGTAAACCATTTTCCGAGCATGATTGAAAGTTGAAAGAGTAAAAATATGTTCATGATTTAGGTCCTCTTTGGCACGGGCTTCCCTGGCTTTGCCTTTTCCTCTGCAGGTGTAGCAATAACCTCTTCCTCTCTCTCCTCATAAGACACATTAGCAAAGTAGACAAGTCGGTGAAGCTAGATTTAAGGGGCTTCACCGTCTTTGAGCCCTGCCAATGATGGTCTTACTCCAAAAGTCCAAATGTTCAGAGAAGCCGGTGTGTGTGCTTGTGTGAGCCATTTCTTAGACCTTGTTTAGAACTTCGAAAATCCATCTTGCTGTTTTTCTTGTAAAAATTGAATAGAGGTTCCTATAAAATTTCTACATTCCAAACGGATCTTAATCTTATCAGTCGTGCACAAAATATTGCAGGATAACTGGAGAAGCAACGCGGTGGTTGAAGAGATGTTTGGAAGGATGGCTCTGCAGATAACTGACTACCCAGGCTCAGGCCCGAACGATCGTCACACTCCCAAAGCACCGGGCCCATGACGACAAAGACAGAGAGAACTGCTGAGCCCTGAAGATTGTGTACAGAGATTTCAAGCTAATATGAGTTCTTTTGGTCTGGAACAAATTCAAGCTAATCATGGATCGGCTAGCGCCTTGAAAATGTAGTAGTGTACGTGTGCAGCCTGAATTCAAGCTAATCATGGATCGGCTGCCTTGGCTGTTGGCTGCAGCAGCTTTCAAGAACTTGCTCTCACAAATTACTGTAGAAACAGCCGCAGAAGTAGCTCAGCGAGCACAGAGTAGTAAGAATTGTATGAACAAAAGCTGCTGAAAATTCCTTGAAAAGACACGGCATGTGGCCTTAGCAGTTAGCGCCCTGAATATACAGATCTTAAACCCTTCGATCAGTTCTTCAGTTAAGAGTTGTGTCACCATAGTGGCCGAGATGATAAGATCCACAGACCTGTATTTCCTTTTTGTGTGTGTGCGCTTATGCTGTGCTGTGCACGTCAGATCCCTCGGGAGGATGGAGAGGGTTGCAGAATTTTCAGACCTTCAGAACCTGATCATAGCAGACCTTAACACAGCAAGATGCATGAGAAAATGCTCAGTGCAGTGGATCCTCCCGGCAGAACAAAGGCAATGACTCAACATATGGCTTCAGTCTTGTAAGCAGCACGCGTGGATTAGTCACGTGCTTTCTTTTGCATAACGTGCCTTGCCTTTAGATATTTCCTCCGTCCAAGAAAAATATAAAAAGTAACGTGCACCAGCTCTAAACTTGCGCTGCTATGTCATCCTGCACCTAGTTTAGTTTACAAGGAAAGATCTACTGCATTCTTTAAACGGAGAGTATTATTAGTAGCAAATTACGTTTGGAGTATTAACTAGAAGCTCGTGTTGCTCCGACAAGGCGACAACGCTTAGATAGTTGGATTAATCCATTGGGTATCTGTATGAACTAGAAGCTCGTGTTGCTCCCGTCGGTTCCGGATCCCTGATTTACGCCGAACTATAGATCGAGGTCACACGCTCTTAACTATAGATCGAGGTCACACGCTCTTAGTTTTTGCTCGAGGTCACACGCTCTTAGTTTTTGCTTGGAAGCAGGTCTGGAAGCCACAGAGCAGCAGAATACACGGAGCAACTTCGACGCTTTTGTTTGGAAAAACTCTTGAAGCCATAGACAGATTCGACGCATTGTTGACACTGAGCATGATGAAATTTGCCAGAATTGCACGTCAAAACAGCTGGAGAACGAACCGCTTCTCTTTTTCGAAAGAGTATGTCTACTGCACAACCATGTGTTTTATATAATTTTAACACATAAATTTTTTTGCACCATAAGATTAAGATCAAACAATCTCCATCATTCTTCTACCTCTAGCCCTCTTCTACTTTTAGACAATTACAAGATCACAGATCCACATATCACAAATCACATATCACAGAAAATAATTTTTTTTTTATGGAAGACAAATTACAGAGGGATTGGATCATCAGATTCGCGTTCGCGTCATGTGTCGTGGGGCCCTGGCCGTCGTGTCATGGGTCATCAAATTCGCGTTCGCATTCGCATACGCGCATAACTGGAAGTCAAGTCTCCGGCTTGGCAGATCTGACGGACGCAAACAGATCCGGTGGATTAAAATTCGTGTGTTTTTTTATGCTAAAACACATGTGTTGTATAGCATTTCTGTTTTCAAAAACGCGTATTTAGCATTGATCAACAAATTGAACTTCCGTTGTACAACGTTTTCGACATCTCGAACTCGAAGTATTCACAATTCCCCTTCCCATGGCCAACACTCGTCATCGCACTAGAATATGTACAAAACCACCTCCACCATCAAACCAATCAGTGAACCAATTGGAAAGCGATTAGAGGCCTAACCATAGAATCTCCTAATCCTAATCCACGTCCTCTATCCTAATGTTCCACGGCTCCTCCCTCTCTGGCTCCTGCTGCGCCTGCGCCTCCCCTCGCTCGCCTCCGAGCACGAGGTAGCTGACCACGACCGCTGCCCTGGGCCTCCGCCTCTCCTCGCCGCCGCCCTCCGCCGCCGCCGCGGCGTTGTCCTCCTCCTTGGCCGGCGGCAGCTCGCGGCGGCACACGGGGCAGTTGCCGTGCACGCCGAGCCACCGCTCCAGGCAGCCCCCGTGGAAGCGGTGCCCGCACGGCATCTCCTTGCCGGCGTCCTCCACCCCGTCCAGGCAGATGGTGCACTCGCCGAGCTCGCCCCCGCCCTCGATCTCCCCGGCCTTCACCTCCTTCAGCGCGGCGATCGCGGCCTTCGACGCCGGCGGCACGCCGCCGCCGACCCCGCCCGAGAACAGATCCCCGTCGCCGTCGAGGATGACGTGCTGGACCACCACCAGGCCGGGCCCCCCGCTACCGCCGCCGACCCGCTGCAATGCCGAGGTGGGCGCCGCCGCCGCCAGCCCCATCAGCAGCCGCAGGATGCCCGCCGCCGCGCGGTCTTCGTCGTTCGCCGAGGCCATCGGAGGAGGAGGTCGATCGAGCACGAGAGAGAGGGAGGGTGGAACCGTGAAAGAATCGAAAGAATCTGGGTGTGTTTTTTGGTGTGATTTTTCGGTGGCTTGAATTGGCGGCTATATATGATTAGGGGAGGCTAGTGCGGTGAAGGTTCTGGAAGGTTCCCGAGCTGGCTCCTCGTTTCTCTGATCTGTGGCCCTAAACCAGGCGGGGCCCCGTCGGGCGGTTGGACACGGCTGTGAAATCCAAGTTGGGGAAGCTTTACGAGAAATCTGTCAAGGTAGGAGGTAGCTGACCTGTTTCCGTTGGGTTCGGTTAAGGAGCGCGTCCAGGTTTCCGAAAGGTTCCAGAGCCCAGATATTTTCGTCGGCTGCTGGTTCACTGACATGCGGGGTCCACACCCGGTGCGACGGCGCTCAAAAGCAGCTTCTACGCTCCGCTGGAAGGCCGTGGAGAGGTGGAGAACGGGAGAGACGGATAGGGACAGCCGACGTGCAGGTCCATAGCATGGAGTGCCGGTGATCTGATGGGCCGGCTTTATGCGCACAGAAATGTAGGCCCATTAGGTGAAGTAAGGATAGAAACGGAAACAAAAAGTTTTTTTTTACAAGGAAATGAAAAGCTTGTGTGGGTCATGCGCGTAGTTGTCGCTTGTCGCCATTTTGCCAGTGATAAATTCTGTGTCGCTCATTCTATGGGTGACAGGGGTCTATTTTTGTTAATTTTTAAATTGGACATTTATTTTTGCTAATTAAAACTAAAAAACAAAAAAAAAACTTTGAAAACTTTAGGCTAGTTTTGTAAAAAATAAAAAAATATAAGTTTCGAAGTTGTTAGAAGCAATCAAACCAACTGAACAAGCTCTAAATCTCATCCGACGGCGGAGGATCTATCCTTCAGATCGTCGCGAGCTATTACGAAAGGCGGTATACAGGTGGTTGTAGATATATTACCTCCCGAAGTCCTTGATTCCAGTGCATTATGTCAGGGTCGGTCATTGCGATCTATTTGTCGGCCATGTCCATCCTTCAATTCAGCTCGGCGGTGTGGGCATTGAGAGTGACGATCCTTGGGATGGTCCGACAGAGGTCTTGGCTGTGCGCTAAGTTGGATCCTCTTTCTCGCGTGGCAGGGTTGGCGCTGGGTAAAGTCGACGCGTTGCTGGCAAGCCTAGCTGAAGAATTGGTCGGCACACTCCTTAATGCATCTAATCAGGTATTGAAAGGTGTTGAGGATGGTGCCTGAGCTACTCAACTTGGTCATCATGGTATCGGTGACTCTAATTTGTTTCCTTTTTCTTAATCAATGATTCACTACTCACTTAATATAAATATATGGTGCCTAGTAGAGTAGCAGAAAGTGTTTTGCACATTAGGTTGGTCTCATAATTATTATCTGCCACCTTTTGAGCATTGTGACGAGTATTTTTTTGGTGTGGTAAAAAAGGTAGTTTACCAGGTGTTATAGGAGTGATAGGACTTGTGAACATGTATGTTGCTATGTGGCATGGATATAAAATGTTGATTACGGAAGAATATAGTCGGTGCACATCGCTATTTTTATTTTATACATTTATATATTGTGTACAACACTTCTTATTGTTGGAAACTAGCATTTATGAACATGTTTATAAGGTGAGAGTCGATGTAACACCCTGGCCCAGGGTTTAATAGGATTAATAGGATACTCGTACCAACAAGTTGCAACTTCTTTTCTAGAAGTCCATCTCTTAAGAACTCCAAGGTTAAGCGTGCTTGGCCTGGAGTGATGGGTGATCGACCGGGAAGTTCTTCCTAGGTGCGCCATTGAGTGAGAATAAAGTCTTGTGAAAAAGACAAGTGTTGAGTGCGTGAGGGTAGTCTATATCCTAGTAAGTGCGCGGAGATGTAAGCGGGCCCGGCCTCGGAAAGGTGGGACGTTCTGAGAATGGTATCGAGCCGACTCTCGCGGTTTCACGAGTAGCGTGTGTGTCGTGAATTGCGTAGGCATGGTGCGCATGGTGGTGTGGATCCGGCGTGGTCACAAAGATGGCAGCATATCTTGGCACGCTTGACACTGCAGACGTGGCTAAGAGGGGCGTTCGGCTTGGGATTGATCGGCGAGGGCGTCGATCTCTAAAAGGTGAGGATGTAACACCACGGCTCGAGGCTTAATAGGATTAATAGGATACTCGTACCAACAAGTTGCAACTTCTTTTACGAAAGCCCATCTCTTAAGAACTCCAAGGTTAAGCGTGCTTGGCACAAGCGATGGGTGACCGGCCGGGAAGTTCTTCCGGTGCGCCTGAGTGAGGACAAAGTGCGTAGAAAAGACAAGTGTTGGCCTGTGAGGGCAGTCTATATCCTAGTTAAGCTGCCAGATATAAGCGGGCCCAGCCTCGGAGAGGTGGGACGTTACAGTCGACACCGCCCAAGGGTGGCGGTGCCCCCGACGGTGCTCGTGCCTGTTTTCCTCCCTCTTTGGATTAATAGGGCCGTGCATCAGACATAGGGCGGTGGTGCCCATGGCGGTGACCCCCTTAGTTCAACACCAAAAACGCCAG